CACAAGTATATTCAAAGCCCACTCAGTGAGGGGTGCTGCCACATCGGCCGCGGCCAATGCTGGTATCACTATGGCAGATATCCTGAAAGAAGCTGACTGGAGTTCAGAGTCTGTTTTCACAAAATTTTATTACAAGCCGATTCGATCGGGGGTGTTTAGATCAGCAGTGCTGTCCAACAGGGGATCAAAATAACTACAAACTACCACAGTTGATATGGAGACTGAGCCTTCTGAAATATAATTACAGAATGGCTCATCCCACGTAGTGGGTGCCAGCTATTCTGGATTATATGAAGAAGGTGAGGTCGAACATATCAACTTCCCGCCCAATCCCCACCCGATATGTTTCTCCCACAGCGAGGGCCAAGGCCCACCGGGACCAATTTTATCCACCAGAGGTGGGTGTGTATGGACGGACAAGGTTCACTATAAAAAAAGGCCGAAGAGGCTAGATAAGCGGGGGCCTTTTATAGTATCATTTGCCGCCAAAATCATCCAACATAATATATGGAAGGTGCAATTCCGTATATGAATGGGCAAATTAACTCACTTCCAGGGTTTCAGCATGGTTGCTAGGGTGAACCCTGGCTAAAAAACAAATTAACTACCAAGGAGCTGTCTGAGCTAGGATTTTGGGCCAATTGACATGTGAACCACTTTTCCCATGTTCACCACAGGCAGCATGGAAGTTTCGCCATACAACAGCAAAATAGAACATTGGAACCCAATACACTTTTTCCATCGAAAATAGAACCCAGCCCATCTGCATTTGACAGACTCACTCTACCACTACTCCAGAGGTTCCCAACTCGATTGGGACGTTGCATAAACGTTATCGAGAGGATTGGCATCAAGGGGCACTGCCTCTACGTTCATCTTCTCAACGACGAGTGTGGAACGGTGGCCATTAACCTTGAAATGAAGCACAGATGCGATCCAAATCGAGTCGCAGAAGATGTTCTTGTGAGGTGGCTGGAGAAGGAGCCACGAACCTGGGCTGATCTTGTTACATAGTTAGATAGAGCTGGGCACTCTGGCGAAAGAGATTAAAGATAACCTGTGTACTAGAGGAAATCGGGTATGTACTTTTTGTAGCATCATACTTAGTAGATAATGTACACTGTTTGTACTGTGTTAACTGTGTGATTAATTATTTTAGTTGTATCACTTCCTCCTTTGAAGGAATGTTCTATTGAGTAACTCATATCAGCTAGAGACATACAGCGTCTGCTATATACCAGTCACAAATATGTGTACTTTACTCAATAGTGTACCTCTTCGTGTGTGTGTGCTGCATACAAACCTCCCACTCTCTGTATCATACTGTGGCAGGTGGTGACATCGACTGAATTACCACAACCACAACCAATATTCACTGAGGACGCTGCCTCTGTATCTGACAGACCCACACTACCACTTCTTAAAAGATTCCCAACTCAATCTGGACGTACTACCAACATCATTGAGGGGATTGGGTCAAAATGTCGGGACCTTTGCACCTGTCTACTAACAGACAATTGGGGTGCGGTTATCAGGAGCATGGAGCTAGAGCATCGAAATAATCACTATCGAATCGCGGAGATTGTTTTGCAAAGATGGCTTGCTGAGAAACCGAATGCGTCGTGGGCAGAGCTTGACTTAGCGCACTGAGGAACATTGGACTCGGAAGATTGGCTAGAGAGATTGAAATAAATTTTCACTGATGGTTTTGTTTATGTTTGTGACATTTCTTAATGACATAAAGATTATTTTTTTCACGTACAATTTCAAAGATGTAATCTAATCTAGCACTTGTAAAAAATGAAGGTATATAAAATTTGTGCCCTAATCAACAGCAAAGCAATGTTGAAACTGAAAGAAGCTATGTATGAGGTATAACATAACAAGTTTTACGCGACTACCCGCTTCCGAACGCAGCCCGACAGACCCAGCCCTTAGAGCCAATCCTTTTCCCGAAGTTACGGATCCGTTTTGCCGACGTGAGATGTATTTGTGCCATGTAAAAATCAGGCCATCACGTTACAATCACTGCAGCTTTTATCCATCAGTCTTCAACCTAGGGGAATGAGATAATGATGATATGATGCCATGATGAATACCTCTGTGTTTCCCTCAGCAGCACTGGCATTGAGTATATACTTCTTGAAGTAGTTCTCCTTCTTTCTTCATGAACAGTTCCACCTGAGTATTATAGCAAGAGGGGGGGGAGAAAAGGTAATGGTGGAAAGGAGAAAGGGAGAGGGGGCAAGGAAGCACTCTCATTAAAACTCAGCTATAAAGTATATCTGGCTACAAGTGCTTACATAATATGAAAAGCACTGAAGTGCAAACCCTCGGCGAACTGCGCATGCGCGGTATATTAGTATGCGCGGTCTCTCGCTAGTATATAGCTCGCAGAGAGTCTGACAAGGGCTAGCTAGATTAGCATGCGAGAGTCGATACACGCCCTTCGTTGTGACTTCTTGTGCCTTCAAAATACACAGAGCAAGAAGACCCGGTCCCTGTGCTAAATATAAGCGCATGCGCATTTTCCGCAGCGATAAAAATGGCCGACTACGCATTAGCCGTACAACGGTGGAAGCGCTCTAGCTTTGCAACGGAGCGTTTTCAGAGAAAACCGTTCGATATTTCTGACCTTCATTGCCCGTTCGGTAGGTGGTATCCTTTGTGAGACGAAAGAACACTCGAGAAGTGAGATGAAGAGTAACAGACACACAGACACGAGACAGACAAACCCAACTACTGTAACCCTCGCTGCGCATGCGCGCCGAGGGTTAATAATATCATAATTATAATAATTATTATTATACTGATTTCTGCACTCTTTTACTGCATGATGTACCTGAATGGCCTCCTGGCTACCATCTCGAGTCAAGTCTTTAGTGACATCATCAACACTGGTAGAGGTGTACTGGGATAGAGTGGAAGGTAGTCACTGCCTTAGCCCAGGATGGGTATCTTTGTATTCACATTGTGATCTATAGAGGAGCTCTTACAAGAACCTAGCCTTTCTTTTTTAAAGCCAAAAAACGGCGCATGATAAGAAATAAATGTGCTTTTGAAATGCGAGAGAGAGAGAGAGAGTGTGTGTGCACCTGGTAGGAGTGGTTGACTCCCCCACTGCTGACAGTCCTTCCAGAAGATTCTATCACTGTGGTACTGGTGGAGGTGTCAGCACTGACGTAGTGACAGAGGAGGAGGAAGAGGAGACAATGGGAGTTTAAGGACACTACACACTCCTTATTAGTAACAATTTACTAGTCTCATTCGCCAAACAACAGTAAAAAGTACTACACTATAGTTGAAGGGTCCTTGCAAATTCTGTGCGTAGATTTAATACATAAAGTCACTGTCTTATGATGTTCAAAGCTTTTATGTGAGCTATATATCGCATGAATATTCCCCTCCTCCCTCCTTCCCTTCCTCACTTGAGGTTGACTGAAGGAAGAGTGCTGCTGTCGAACACCACGGTGACATTGCCATGGCCACCAGACTCTTCCCCCTCCTCGGGGTCAACTCTCAGGGAGACGGAGGTCACAATGGCCTGGGAGTCTTGGTCAATGGCTGACAGTCTGAGAGGGGAGAGGTGTCATGTTCACTGGTGATCATTAGTGATACCCTTAACACAGTCTCAACACAGTCTTAACGCAGTATTACTGGGTTCACCTTCACTAGACACTTCTGATTCTACTTAACACATTCTTAACGCAGTCTTGCTTATAACTGGGTTCACTTCCCACGTTCTCACTCGAAACTGAAACTCCAATTGAGCTAGTATGGAGCGTTGTTTCTCTGTATCTGTTTCAGCGATGTCTATTGTTATATAAAACTACTGATACCACTTAACACAGTTTCAACGCAGTATTAACACAGTCTCGAATCAGTCTTAAACACATTTTCAACGCAGTCTTTAACACAGTCTTGACGCAGTCTTAACGCAGTTTCAACGCAATCTTACATACTTGTAGCTGGGTTCAGCCGTGTCATCTTCAGTGGTCAGTACCTCCATACTCCCTCCACTCTTTTTTCAGAACGGCTTTGAACTTGTCCTGAGGCAAGCCGTCCTGAACACTGAAGTGACCTGAAACAACAATGACGAGCGAGTGATTTGGAGAGCTCTGTGTGTGTCATGTGAGTGTCATGTGACATGGAGGAATGTTCACATGACTTGGAAGACTTGTAGCGAGGACACTTGATTGACAAAAGCTTGATGTGCAAACAAATTGGACACTGCAAATAGGATCGCCATGCAGTCATAGTGATGACATTATTGCTACTAAAAATAGGCAGGCAGCACACACACACCTATTTACAATGCAAAAACTCACATCATCTCAGCAGTGTATCTCTATATAATGCAGATTACCATTATATTATACTAAATTCTGGCCAATGAACAATAGGGAGTTACTAAATACGACACATCTAGACTTGTTCCAATGACATCAGTGTTACTAAGAATAGAACTCACCTGGACTCGTTGCTGTTCGATCTTGCTGACGTCGACCTCTGAGTTAGTGGGCGGGGCATCCACCTGTACCCACCTGTGGTTATTTTTAGAACAAGTATAGATTATGTAATGGTTTTACAGCAGCAGCAAGATAGATGCTTGCTTGCCTCTCTCTCCACAAAGATCTGTCTGGTCGGTGGCTGGTTCTGTGGTTTCCAGGCGGCACCCGAGTCCCTGACTCCGCCCTGACAACGGAACGAGTCCCGGGCGCGGACGTAGTCGGGAGCGTAGTTCTCGTACAATGTCTTCTGTACCCTGGCACTGTGGGACCTAACAAACAAACAAACAAACAAAAAAACCAACCAAACAAACAAACAAACAACAACAAACACATCAATAAAGCAACTGTGCGAGTAATGACGTCATAGCTTGCAGAAATGTCGCAGTAAGTAAGGTTAATTTTCTCACAGGGCATGCTTCCGTCATGTGTGGTGTCCAGTTGAATAATTCCATATCAGAACTCTGGACTAGTCATCATTGACAGGGAACTCACTGCTGTGGGGGGATATGATGGATATCGTCGTACTAACATACTATACACACTACGACAGAGGAAATGGGTTGAGAAATACCCTCCAATGAACACTGCACGTTCCCACACTGCTGTAGTTACTACATCTGATGGTGAATACCTCATTGTGATTGGTGGGCTTGGTGGTCATTGGACTGCTACAGTTGAACTATTTCAAGTGAAGAGCAAAAGATGGTAGCTACCAACTAACAGACTTACCACAACCTCCCCCCTTCCCTTCAGCCACAATATGTAGTGATCAGTTGAATGTGATAGGAAGGGATATTAATGGCTACTCGTGTTTTCTTGCAGCCCTACTATCCAGTGATAAACTAATCACATCACCTCTCATCCTATCCTGGAAACCTCTCCCTCCTCTACCAGTGGAATGCTCAACAGCGGCCACTCTCTGTGGACAGCTAGTACTCATTGGTGGCTGGGGATCTGGGTCACGAGTCAACTCCATTCACCAGCTAGTGAATGGACAGTGGGTGGAGATTGGCTCTATGACTAGTGGTAGGAGAATGTGTTTAGTAGCCAGTCCATCACCTGACAAAATCATCATAGTGGGTGGAGATGAAGGCATTTTTCAGTATGTAGATGTTGTTGAAGAGTGTATTGTTACACAGTGATTTTGCTGATTTTGTACAAATTATTTAATGATTATTGTAGACAACAGAAATTAATTTTGGTTGATAAAAGAAAAACAGTTGCTACAGAGTGGTTTACGTAACAATCTAAGATGAAATTGTCGTCACAGTTTCTCTACATATTGGACATGTGCTGTGTTCCTGAAGGGAAGAAGTAAAACAATAATCACCACACAACAGTAAACCTTTTGTTCTACACATAAGTTCCCCTAACATCATTACAGTAATAGTCTTTGTACATGTACATCGGATATTCCTTTGACACATTTGTACACACAATAGGAACATTACCAGCTATAAACTATGAATGGTAGAGAGAAGAGGGGTTTTGGGGAAGAAAGGGTGGAGAAGGAGAAGAGAGAGAAGAGGAGAGAAGGTAGAAATGGTGGACACCTTGAGCCATGTCATCTGTCGATACACTTCTGGTGGAAGTCATGGCGACAGGATCTGAGGGTTCTTATCTTCTCCCTCGTCTGGAACTCACTCATACACACCACACTCAACTGAGGGAGGGAGGGAGGGAGATATCAGCAAGACAGAGCATTTTCTAAACCTCATAAAAAGGACCTACTAAATAGCACCTCTCTATAAAGGACACTTTTGTTCATTTCCATACCACACTGTATATGTGCTTCTCCTAATGAGGTGTGCTCTAAATAGAGCTGCAGTGTGGTGTTTACCTCTTGTCATCTCCGTCTTTCTTACGATGAGTTCTTGATGGCAGCCTACTGATTTCTGGAGAAATGATAATATTGTGTAACAGAAGGTAACAGTAGGTAACATTATGGTTCAAAAAAGAGGTTAGAGTTCATAGTGGGAGAGGGGTTATAGTCAATTATGGTGCAAGAGGGTTTAAAGTAGTCAATTACAGTGGGAGAAGGGTTAAAGCAGTAAGTTACAGTGAGAGAGGGGAACAGACCATCTCTTCATTGTTGTAAAGTTGGAGTAAGAAAGATATTGAAATGGCAAGTTCCAAGCGAGATAGAAGGAAAGGACAAAAGGTAAGGGTGAGATATGGGAAAAGTGAAAGGTGGGGGGAAAAGAAACACACCAACTAGCCAGAATAGTTCCCATGGTGACTCACTGTCCCATCAGAGAGACTCTGAGACTCAGAGAACAATGGTAAACAGTTCTTCACCGTCGTTCAGTTGATAGGGACGGAGAAAGAGGCCAACGCTTTCAGGTGTGTTGGTTTGTGTGTAGGTTGCACTGAATTGAATATTACTTTCTCTTTCTCTTTTCTCTCCTTGCTTGCATCCTTTCTTCCTCTGTTCTTTTCTTTATTCGTAAGATACAAGTTGGAGCTGGTGGGTCATGGTAGAAAGCTAACATGGGAAGCAAAGCCTCAAAGGTATCATACATGTACACACATACACTAACTACCTTGCAGTCCCTTCCAACCTTCAAACAAGGGACACCATGAGAATGATGATTTTGTCACGTAGTCCCCACTGTATCACGGAGTTCAAATAATGCACTAAAGTATTAGCATGGGGTTGAAACAAGTGTCCTTTGTAGAGAGGTTGTCCCTCTATATCTCGGAGGGTCCCTCATCAGAGGTTCCACTGTATAAAGCACCATTGGCTAACTCCGACATTTATCAGCATCCACTGCAGTATATCAAGTGTCATTTGCAGCAACGATTGCCTAATATTCGAGATTGCAATGGCTTCTCATTTCGGAGACAATGGAAACCGTGCTATCAATGTCACAATCTACAAGACACACCCCTGACACCTGTAGCCATCACACCATACTTTATATCTTCATGTGTACAGTTGCACTATGCAATCATACCTAATTGTCTGCTCTCTGCGTTTCTGTGTGGTGTGTGTATATAGCTCTGTTGACCAAAAGTCACGTGATCCGGCAGATTACGTGTCTGTACTTCTGCGCATGCGTACCCGATATTCGCTTGAATAGAGATAATTATAATAATAGAGCTAGAGAGGGCCGGCTAGGGTGGTGCAGCGTAGGGGGCGTGCCACATAAACAAACTGCCACAGCCGATCAGCGATCAGCTTTTCTCTATCCAAGGATGGCGGAAGGTGGGTATATTTAGAGGGTGAGTATGCTATAAATGTATTTGCTCGCGTAGATGAGACCTTTGAACCAGCCGACGTGAAGAAAATGCTGAACGAGCTTGTGGAGGCGCAGAACCACTCCTACGTGCTCGGGCTCCAGCTACTGCCGCCACACGAGGTGGAGGCGATTCACCGCCAATACCAGGATCCCAAAGAGCGTCTGGTGCAAATTATTCTTGCCTTCACGAATCAAATCGAGCCCAGACCGACATGGAGGGTCATTGTGGAAGCTCTCAGGAGTCCTTCAGTCAACCTACCAGGTTTAGCTAGGAGAGTGGAAGCAGCTCATTTCCCTGACTCTACCGCAACACGCGATGTGGTACCTGAGACTGCTACTGGTATTTTACCATCATACTAGTTCTCTGACTGGTTAGCTGGTAATGTCTCTATCATCTCAGGCACCACAGAGTCTGCAGCCAACACTACTGCTGCTGATGATGAGGTCAAATCAAAGCCACCACCTCAACTGAACCCTGCTAATAGTGAGAGTAAACTCTTGGGTTGTAGTAACCCTCGGCGCGCATGCGCAGCGAGGGTTACAGTAGTCGTTCTGTCTGTCTGTCCGTCTGTCCGCGCGAGTTCTAGCACTACAGGCTACGAGGCGGCCAATGAGTGGCAGAAGATTGATATAACGTGGCGATTTCCCCCAAACGACTGCGTTCCAGAGATATGGCGTGAAAACAAGCGAAAAAGCCAACGCGCGGTCGATCGTGCACGCGCCATCTCCTGCAGGCTAGCTATTAGCTATATAGCGCGCACGCGTCATGTCAATTAATTGCCGGAGCATGCGCTATGCCACGTTAGTTGTATATACGATCCACTCAGTTTTGATCTATGCATACCTACCAACCTGCAGATGAACCTTTGCTTGAGAAATGTGTCAAATTTGCAGTATTTTTGCTTGAAAATGCTGTGTGTCCATCCAAAATGTATAGGCATGATGCATCACAGGTTAGCACAAAAAGAGGGATTTGGCGATTTTTTGGAGGGATAGGCATTATTTTTGCTTGATTATCAAGCAAAAAGAGGATGGTTGGTAGGTATGTCTCTGTTCCCTATGGATAAACGCTGAGCAAGGTATGTTCGCAATGTAGCATAATAGTTCAGGTGGCGAGCAGTTTGTGGTTGCGGCCTTGCCTTCCCATCTATACAACGTCTGGCGAGAGCATTGAAACACAGAAGAGCAGATAGATTAAATAAAGCAAATATGAGAGCCTCTGAAACACCTGAGTTATTGCTCTAACTGCTAATGCAACTATCTTCCTTGTGTTACGGTGGGACTCATGTTACTGGCTCCGTCGATGACACACGGCCCAGCATAACTACAGCGATGCTACAACTCGCTAGTTTACCGCCGAGGGTTTGCACTTTAGTGCTTTTCATTATATGTGTAACTCATTCTAATAGTTACGACAGTGGAGACTGAAATCAAAGGGCTTCATGAGAGGTTCAACGCTCTAAAGGACCTTGCAATCCAAGGCCTACAGAAGTGCCGTGTTGCCGTCCTAACAGTAGTATACATTCTCACCAACGTTCGGACACACGAACATCGAATATTTTTGAAAGAGAATCACAAGGCTCTTCTCCAGTGCAACGACCATCTTGAGCTGTTTGTATCTCTCAACTTCTACTGGAACTACCTCGCACCTGATCTGCTCGACCACCTGATCGGAGAACTGACTAAGAAACATGAGGATTTCAACACAACTGCTATTGAGATGACCGCCTACAAGAAGGATCTGGAAGAGTTTAAAAAGCGTACGACGTTGGTTCTGTTCTGTGAGGCTGACCCTCGGCCACTCGATGAAGATCCTCCACCTGGCTTCAGGAAGATGGTAGTCAAGTTTGACTGGCCCCGAACTGCAACACTGGAGGACGTGGAGAGGTTCAGGAGACGATACGCCAGCAACTACGACCTTCAGACATGTGCCATGATGTTAAACAGCATTGGGACTGGATCTTTCACCGTCACTTGGTTCGTACCTGTCTCAGTGGTGGAGATGTTGAGGAAGAAGAGAGCGTTGTCTGTCTTCAAGGAGTTCAGTGTCACTAGACTAGATATCCACACCTCAACACAGATTTGTGTCTACCAAATCCCTCCTCAGAGACCAGTAAGTGGGCTGTCATTGTCTTGAGCCTGGTTCACATTACTTGGCCTGAGTCTGTGACACAGTTTTGCTTTTAGTTCAGAATGGCACGAAGGTTATTGTGTGTCTATCCATGCACCATCCGTGCTGTGTAAGATGCACTAGCAAAACAATGTATGAGGTGTAAAGTGGGTGTGAAAATGAGTTGCTGTGCTTGTCTTCGGAATAATGCTAGGATCCACGGATGAGGTTTTTAGGATCATCCTAACCTACACAAGTGGTAAAATTATTTCTTAAAAAATGCATATAGGGATTGGCTCTAAACACCATAAAGGAAAGAACTAGGGGTCATTTCACAGCTAAGACACACAAAGCTACATGACACTATCCCTATATCTTTGTCTGATTCTTTTTTGCTGTTAAATAGCTTGCTGTTTGATATCCATTTTATTCATTGGCTATGAATCATATCCGTGAATAATGCTCTGTGTTTCCACCCTCTTTTGTCAGACCCAGCCTGCTAGCCTAGCAACAGCTGTACCCCATGCCATACCACCTGTAGTTAAACCACAAAAGGTAGGCAACAATAACATTGATAACTGTTGTAGTAGCCCCACCTGGTACCGAGGTGGGGCCTGGGGACCAGGCTACTGTTGTAGTAGATTATCATGGGGCCTTTAGAAATGCCAAGAAATTTACTGATTGTGTTGGCGGCTGGTTGTATGGCGTATTCATACACTATACACTATGGGATACCAGTGCACATACATACACTATGGGAGAGAACGAATACCAGTGCACAACTTGGGACATGACACAAAATGGTTCCATCGACATTATGTGCAGTGGTGTTCTCTGCCTTCTACGGTAGACACACACCCATTATTATTAGAAAGTGGGTCTGTCTGTGTGGAACTGATGCATAGTAACGAGGTCCTCCTGACTGCAGGAGACTGAGTTAGTGCAGGCCAAGGACAGGGAGCTAAGAGAGAAGCACACAGTGAGAGATGAGCTAACAAGGAAGGAGGGAGAATTAGCTGAGACTCAGCAGCAACTGAGACAGAAGGTGAATAGTGATAACTGCAGGATGTGTCATGTTTTGTGACTAGAGGTCCTCCTGACTGCAGGAGGAACAGCTGCGATCAAGTGAGGCTCTAGTGGCTGACTTCCAGAAGGCCCAGAGAGACTCTGAGACTCAGAGAACAAGGGTAAACCCATTGGCTATGAATCGTATTTGTGAATATTGGTTTTTCTCGTACCCAGCCTGCAGCAATAGCTGTACCACATTCCTTACTACCTGCATTTATACGACGAAAGGTATGCAACATTAATGTTGCTAACTACCATCGTGTTGTGGTAGAACTTAAGAACTTAACAATCCTTTATTCATTGGCTATGAATCATATCTGTGAATATTGCTCTGTGTTTCCACCCTCTTTTGTCAGACCCAGCCTGGTCCCCTAGCAACAGCTGTGTAGTTAAACCACGAAAGATAGGCAACATTAACATTGATAACTGTTGTGGTAGAGTGTTGGGAGGCCTTTAGAAATGCCTAGATATTTACTGATTGTGTTGGTATCTGGTTGTATGGCGTATTCATACACTATACACTATGGGATACCAGTGCACATACATCGACTATGGGAGAGAATGAATACCAGTGCACAACTTGGCACATGACACAAAATGGTTCCATCGCCATTAGCTATGTGCAGTGGTGTTCTCTGCCTTCTACGGTAGACATACAACCATAATTATTATAAAGTGGGTGTGGTCGCAAAGGTCTGTGAATACATGCTCTAAACTGGCCACTATGTTTTCACGTACCATACATATGTAGCACCCTTACTGTATGTAGACTATTTACTCGTTATTAACCCTCGCCTGCGCGCATGCGCAGCGAGGGTTATTGCAGTTGGTCTGTGTGTGTGTGTGTGTGTGTGTCAGCGTCTGTCCGTCCGTCTGTCTACCGTTTTTCTCGGTAACTGCGGCAACTCTGAGCGTGAAACGTGGACATATTATCAACTAGGAGGCATGCATGGTAAAATAAGATTCTGGAGCGGAGAAGGCCAGGGGAGCTGGTGAAACGGGCGGCTGTCGAGGTCAATTAGAGATCACGCGACGATCGCTCTGCTACTAGATGCTTTGGGCGTATTGATGGTACAGTTGAGTAGGAGCAAGATTGCTGGTGAAGTGACAGCAGCACACGCCAAGTGAATCCGTTCAGTGAAGGAGTCACTTATGTAGTGTAGCTATAATAAAGGTTATGTAGCTACTGCTCAGCAGTAGTAACTAGTATTGAACACGCATGTGCAAAAGACTGAGGTAGTGTAGCCATTGGGTGCTGAAATAAAGAATAAAGTGGCGAGGATTATGCACTTTCAAGTGCTTTTCATTCATTAGGTAATCTTACCCATGAACAAAATACACCATGTGATGCCAAGAGAAAAAAAAAGATGTGGAGCTCTGGACAGCTGTTTCGGGCCTCATCAGCAGAGCATACCACAACTTCTCTCTCTGGCACCATGAGTTTATAAAGGCTAAGTTGAGCGCAGCACTTGTGGTTTTGAACTAATGAGATTCATCCCCACAAGGCTTTGCTCAGGCGCAGCGCTTGTGGTTCTGAACTAATGAGATTCATCTCCACTAGGCTTTGCCAGTACCGAGCCAAAACCTGAACTCAAATTACTGACAACAGATTGGGCCCCCGGCAATGAAGCCAGCAAGCACCCATATCCTGCCAGTGCATACACATGAACAAAATACACCATGTGATGCCAAGAGAAAAAAGATGTGGAGCTCTGGACAGCTGTTTCGGGCTTGTTGGCCCTCATCAGCAGAGCATACCACAACTTCTCTCTCTGTCATTCGTATAAAAGGAGTATGCATGTGGAAAATAATCAGGTTTGAGACTCAGCCAGAGTCACTGAGAGAGATGAGCGTTGCCCAAGGTTGGTCGTGCCACACATAAGAGACAGAGAGAAGTCGCGCACTTGTTTTCTCTCCCATAGAGAATGTATGGAGGGTGAATTGTGAGCCTGTAAACTAGCTGCCTAGCCTGTAATCGATAATTATTATTTACACCCAATCAATTTGCATGACATATGTGCAAACTGTACACATGTATGCAGCCATAGCGTTACATTCTGAGGTCCAGATTTAATGATTATGATGTCATTACATGTCATGTGATCTCCCCTCAGCTCACTGTGCAGTGTCATCATAAGAAGACAGCACCACGTGTAATGGGGAGAGGATCTGCAGCAACTGATGGTCGATTTGCATACTTCACCTCACAGAACTCCAACTCAGTCTACCAATATGAATGTAGTACAGAGAAATGGGAGCAACTTCCTTCATGTCCATATCGCAACTCTGGACTAGTCATTATTGACATGGAACTAACTGCTGTGGGGGGATCTTGTTATACTAACAAACTATACACACTACGACGAAATTGGTTGAGAAATTGGTTGAGAAATACCCTCCAATGAACACTGCATGTTCCTCTCCTGCTGTAGTTACTACATCTAGTGGTGAATACCTCATTGTGATTGGTGGGTCTGTTGGTGGTTTCAGTAGGACTGCTACAGTTGAACTATTTCAAGTGAAGAGCAGAAGATGGTACAAACTAACAGACTTGCCACAACCTCTCCCCTTCCCTTCAGCCACAATATGTGGTGATCAGTTGAATGTGATAGGAATTAATACTAATGGCTACTCGTGTTCTCTTGCAGCCCTACCATCCAGTGATCAACCAATCACTTCACCTCTCACCCTATCCTGGAAACCTCTCGCTCCTCTACCAGTGGCATACTCAACAGCTGCCACTCTCTGTGGACAGTTAGTACTCATTGGTGGCAGGCGAGGCGGTCTATTTGGGTCAGCAGTCAACTCCATTCACCAGCTAGTGGGTGGACAGTGGGTGGAGATTGGCTCTATGACTAATGGTAGGAGTGAGTGTTTAGTAGCCAGTGCATCACCTGACAATTGCAAGATCATCATAGTGGGTGGAGAACTTTTTCAGTCAGATGTTGTTGAAGAGTGTATTGTTACACAGTGATTTTGCTGATTTTGTATAAATTATTATTGTAGACAACAAAAATTTATTTGAGTTAAGGGAAAAAACAGAGTGTTACATAACAATCTAAGATGAAATTGTCTGCGGCACAGTTTCTCTACATATTGGACATGTGTTGTGTTCCTGAAGGGAAGAAGTAAAACATAATCACCACACACAGTACACCTTTTGTTCTACACCTAGTTCTCCCTAACATCATTACTGTAAGTTTTGTACATGTACATCGGACATTCCTTAGTGACACATTTGTACACACAATGGGAACATTTCCAGCTATAAACTATGAATGGTAGAGAGAATCGGGTTTTGGGGAAGAAAGGGTGGAGAAGGAAGAGAGAGAGAAGAGGGGAGAAGAAGGCTGATCGTACGCACGTATGGCAAGCCGCCCCGGCCCAACTACAGTGCGTAGACTAGACACAACTTGTGCCCACACACGTCATCGCTTGTATCACATGCGCCTTAGAGTCGTATGCTCGCCCCCCACGCAACCCTGTCAACCCACGGAGTCAGCACTTTCTGCAGAACGGCACACTGGCGTTTGCAAGGCTACGAGTGTTCTCAGAGGTACACACTTGGACATATAAACAATCGAGAGATTGCAAGGTCTTGGCCCTCCTGAACACCAGCCAGAGCTGACAGCTATATTATTGGCGAGCGGAAGCGAGCTAACCTAGTGGTCCGAACGGCGCGATTTTTCTATATATAATATATGTACCCGTACGTCGTCCAACTGCGCATGCTCCAGCATTACGCGCTTCTTTTTATCCGAAAGGGATTTCAACATTTTCATAATGCTGCCTGAATCGAGCGGAATCATGGGAAACGCAACACCTCCGCAGCTATCGAGTATGCTGCACAGTCCAGCGAGAGATTTTCTACATTGCCACTTGTTCCCTATTCCTACCGCAAGACCAATCAGATTGCCGGATTATTCCTGATTCGCGCTGTCGTCTGACTGTTTTTGACTCGACTCGAATTGTCTACTGCGCTCGGGTCGTTTCGGCCAACTTGGTCCTGTGCAATGTATCTCACTGTTTTGTGCACATACAAGAGTAACTCATACGATTAGACCTCAATTGTAAGCGCGCTTCCGCTCGCCAAAAATGACATGCATTCGCCTACTAGTATTATGATACTTGATTACATTTTAGCCGCATGTGCGGACAGCTTAGGAATGTTGATTGTGCGCAACCGCCTCTCCTCTGGTGGTACATGGTGTGGTTGGTGTGCATGCGTACGTAGAGCTAGAGAGAGAGGTGTAGAGGTAGGTGCGTACAAACACAAGTCAACTGGCAACACGTTTGCGAGCACGAACGGCTGCACCTCGGGGTGGTTACGAAGAAACTCGGCCATCTTTCTCTCTAGAGCTATATTATCTCTGGGACGTTGACTCTGGTTTGAAGTTGGTGAGTCAATCCTCATTGTGTATTTCAGGTTTTGTTGTTGAGTTGTTGTTGGGAGGTCTATTTTTATAGTCTAGTTTGTGTTTGGAATTGTAGCTTGATGTCAGGAAAAAAGAAAAGAGCTGCCTCTCCTTCTGGTTCTAAACTCCAACCCACTGTCTTACATGATACCTTGGGCGCTTATATTACTGTCACTTGTGGTAGCTTATCTGGAAATCTTTATCTTTCTAAGTTTGACGGGTCTAATAAGTCTCAATCAAAGTGCGTTGTAGTTAGTGGCAAATGGTATTCACCACCAGAGTTTGAAACACTAGCTGGTAAAAAAGCAAGAAAATGGAGACAGTCCTTGCATCACCTGGGAAGGCCTTTGTCACAATATCTCTTTCCTAGTTCACTAGGCACTCAGGGCTCTTCTCAGGGTGGCCAGCTGGACTTGTCAGCTGGTTCACAAGATGTTGACTTGTCACGTTCAACACCTGTTAGTGGTCATGTTTCTTCGCAACCTAATGTCGCTGAGAGCAGCCGTAGGCGTGTCAGTGTTAGCACTAGCTGTGATACGTTTATTGTTGACGCCATTTTGTCTTTTGTGAAGGCATACCGCCTGAAAGGAGATAAAAATTCCTTGAAAATAAAAATTGGTGAGCGTTTCAGTGGTGCCTCTATCAGTGCTGCTAAAAAAATGCTCTGGGATTCTTGTGCGCAAGCTCTTAGGTCACTTAACCTCCCCTATCAACAGCGGAGGGATTCTGATAAGCGTAAACAGCTCACTGCTGATATTGAAGACCTTTTGCTGGCTTTTGATGCTCTAGATTCAAACAACTCCATCCCTCCCATTTACTGTGAAGCTGGTGACCTGTACAAGTTACCACCCATCTCCCTTGATCCATTGGCTGAGCAAGTTGAGAAAAACTCGCAGGTTTTAACTAACCTGACTTCCGCAGTGCAGTGTCTGGAGACTAAGTTATCTTCTTGTTTTTTGTTCACCTCTAATCAAAGCTCTGAGGATCGTTCTCCAGAACAGCTGGCTGAGTCCAACACTTACGCTGGCAGAGTTGCTTCATTTACTCCTTCTCCAGCTGCTGCTCCCTCTAGCTCTCACTCCTTCAGGGCTTCCAAGTCAAATCAGTCCTTTGAGCGAGATGCAAACCTTGTTCTGTTTGGCCTGCCTGAAACTCATTCTCTAATTGAGTCCAAAGAGATTGCTGACGAGGCTCTGGAGTTTCTTGCTGGAAAACCAGTTCAAATGAGGGATATGTTTCGTCTTGGTAAAGTTAATCGTTCTTCCACCACTTCGTCTCAAACCCGTCCTCGGCCAATCCTTATCAAATTATCTGTAGCTTGGGACCGCAAGCTTGTTCTGTTGAGGAAAAGAAATCTTCAGAACTTTAGGATTAAACGCTTGTTCATACGGGAAGATTTGCCTTTAGAACTTCGGCAGCAAAGAACCTCCAAAGCACGGCAGGCAGAGTCGACAGTTGGTAGATCTGGTGCCCAGCAGCTGGCCCACTCCTCTTTTCCTGACACCTCGAGTGACTCTGCTTTACTTGAGGAGGAGCACAGAACTACCCTTTCTGATCCAGTGGCAGTAGTTGAGAGATCTGAGTCTGCCAACTCTAGGTCTCGTCATGTGTCATCAAGGAGCTTGCCACCGACACGCCTGGCCTCTGAGAGGTCTGATGCTTCCCGCCTCTCTCCCTCACCTCACTCTCTGTGTTCTTCGGTTGAGTCTGCTCTTTCTTCTTCCTCAACTCTTGTTCAGGATCACTCTGACTCTTCCTAATGGCTCCACTTCGTTGTTGTACTTTTAATTGTAGAGGTTGGAATAATGGTTTGTTGTCTTTGCAAGGTTTGATTGATTCCTTTGATTTGTGCTTTATTCAAGAACATTGGCTGCACCGTGATCATCTACACAAAATCAATAATGTCGGTTCTGAGTTTCTGTCTGTCAGTGTTAGTGGCATGGATAGTGGTGTGTTATTGCAAGGGCGGCCTTTTGGTGGTTGTTCGCTTATATATCGTAAGAGTTTGGCATCATTCATATCTCCACTTGTGTCTTGTTCGAATCGTTTTTGTGGTGTAAAGTGTGTGGACTCTTGTGGTCTGTCATGTTTGTTGGTTTGTGTATACATGCCTGCTCGCAGTTCCAGTACAGCCTCCTCTGAGTACTTGAACACACTTGGCGAACTTCATGGTTTCATTACTTCTCAACACTTTGATGTCTTATTGATTGCTGGAGATTTTAATGTGGACTTTGATCGTTCTGGTCCCTTTCACTCTCTTTTGGTTGATTTTATTTCTGATCTAAATTTGTTTGTCTGTGATCTACCTTTCAAGAATTCAGTTGGGTTCACCTATGAGGGATCCCAGGGCTTTCCTCCTTCTTGGATCGATCATGTTCTTTGCTCTGCCTCTTACTACTCATTAGTCACTGATGTC